TTTACGCATTGTGTTTTATTTTTGGAGCATCAACTCTTTAACGTATTATGCATGGATATGCCTGAAGTATGTTTAAAGTGAAATCAGGTACTCACCCTTAAAAAACATTAGGATCCATGGGAGCCCACAGAAAACTTTCCAGGGGGGGGGGCAAAAAAAATCGATTAACTTTCCAAGGGGGGGGGGCAAACAATTTTTAGTAATGTTTTAATGTAGTTTTAATTTACTGTAGCGTATTTGTATGGTGAACGAACGTACATGACATCAGCTTAGTTACTTTCTCTTTATTTTCTCTTTACTTTAATACATTTTTTGTCTATTTTTTTCTAAAATTTTTGTATCCAATCAATCCAGAGGGGGGGGGGGGGCTCCCCCCTGCGGGCGCCCATGTTAGGATCCCATGTCATAGAGCCCCTGAAGTACTCGTGTCTCATTGGCCGTTAACTTTACTTTAATACATTTTTTGTCTATTTTTTTCTAAAATTTTTGTATCCAATCAATCCAGAGGGGGGGGGGGGCTCCCCCCTGCGGGCGCCCATGTTAGGATCCCATGTCATAGAGCCCCTGAAGTACTCGTGTCTCATTGGCCGTTAGGGCAATCCGACATTGTTCCCAATTGTCATTCAGCAAGTCAATATAAACATATTTTTGAATATTTTTATTGACCTATACAAATAAATTGAAATGAAAATTAATTATTTCTCTTTCTTCGTCATAGTGATTTTACCTTATAGTTTTTTAAGTATACTTCTTCGTTTGAAAACTTATCCACCGACTCGATAAACAACGAAGACTGATATGGACCTCATTTTATTATTTGTTCATTGCAATCTGCGCTTATAGAAGTTTGCAGAATCGTTTGGCCATTACCAGCTGGACTATTATTTTTCTGACGAGGCGCACGTCACGGCTGCAGGCGTGAAACAGATCCCGGTTCGTGTGGTGCTGAGTGGGTCTTCCAACCTCTTGGACACGTTTGGTCGTCCAGTGCCAGGCACAAGGTAAATAAGCACAGACTATTTAGAAATGAATTGAAAAAAAAAAAAAAAAAAAAAAAATAAAAAAAAAAAAAAAAAAAACCCACCTACATTCGTTATAAGTTGTGGAAATAAAAAAAAGGAAAGAAAATGAAATAGTCATACTGAAAGAAAAGGTACCCCAATAGGATTCAACAATACATGGTGTTTAGAAAGACACACCATCAGAGTGAGAAAAAGAAAGAGAGTTTATAGGTACAGAGTTAAATCAATTAATTTAGAAAGAGAGAGAGAAACAGTTAAGAGGTACTTCCATTGCTTGAGAGAGAGAGAGAGGTAAGAGGTACACAATTAAATCAATTAATTTAAAGAGAGAGAGAGTTAAGAGGTACTTCCATGGCCTGAGAGAGAGGTAAGAAGTACAGAATTAAATCAATTAATTAAGACAGTGAGAGAGTTAAGAGGTACTTCCATGGTCGGAGAGAGTGTTAAGAGGTGCAGAATTAAATCAATTAATTTATTGAGAGAGAGAGAGAGAGAGAGAGAGAGAGTTAAGAGGTACTTCTGTTGTCCGAAAAGAGTTAAGAATTAAAGAATTTAATACCTTAATTTAAGTGAGAAAGAGTTAAGAGGTACTTCCATGGCCTAAGAGGTACAGAATTAAATCAATTAATTTAGAGAGAGAGAGAGAGAGAGAGAGAGAGAGAGAGAGTTAAGAGGTACTTCCATTGACCAAGACAGATAAAATCTACATAATTAAAAATCAATTAATTTAAAGAGAGAGAGAGAGAGAGTTAAGAGGTGCATTCATGGTCTGAGATAGAGGTAAGAGGTACGGAATTAAATCAATTAGTTTAGATAGAGAGTTAACAGGTACTTACAAATTACAAGGTGCAAGAGAAATTCAAGAAGTACAGAATAAATCAATTAATTTAGAGCGAGAGAGAGTTAAGAGGTACATAATTAAATCAATTAATTTAGAGAGAGAGAAAGAGAGTTAAGAGGTTCTTCCATGGTCCGAGAGGGAGTTAAAAGGGACATAATTCAATCAATTAATTTAGAGAGAGAGAGAGTTAGAGGTACTTGCATGACCCGAGAGAGAGAGTTAAGATGTACTTTCATGGTCCAAGAGAGTTAAGATGTACAGAATGTAATCAATTAATTTAGAGGGAGAGCTAGAGAGAAAGAGAGAGAGAGACAGTTAAGACGTACTTCCATGGTCCATGAGAGAGTTAAGGTGTACAGAATTAAATCAATTAATTTAGAGAGAGAGAGAGAGAGAGAGAGAGAGAGTTAAGACGTACTTCCATGGTCCGAGAGAGAGAGCTAAGATGTATAGAATTAAATCAATTAATTTAGTGAGAGAGAGGGAAACAGAAAGACAGAGAGAAAGAGAGAGATTTAAGAGGTACTTCCATGGTCGCAGAGAGAGTTAAGAGGTACAGATTTTAAATAATTATTATTTAGAGAGAGCTTCCGATCGCACAATCGAAGAACAAGAAGAAATGAGAATGGAAAGAGGTTGAGTCTGGGATAAGCGTCAATTTTAATTCGTTTTCTTATCACTGGCTTGTAGATGTGGATTTGATGGATAGTTCAACATCTACGTCGGTTTTAATTTAATTGCAGTTTTTGTCTTTTAAATAACGCTAAATAAACAAAACCAATGGATGAGAAGAATTTTCCTGGCTTCAGAAAATATGAAGTTAACGTTAAACAATGAGGATGTTTACTGCAATATCTTTGGGGAAAGTCTTGAGAGGCAGAAATGTCTTTTTGTAGTTCTTCTGCGATGCTAAACAAAATATAATGTTTAGGCTTCTGATAATCTTTAGGAGTTCCCGTTATTGCTCCCATTCAAGACACATCAATTCTTTCATTTTCTTAACATCTATGTGAACCCGTCTGGTGACGAGTGCATGTCCATGCGTGCTACTGGGGCCCAAGGCGTAGCGAAGGGGGGGGGGCAGGGGGGACGGATGTCCCCCGGCGCGAGCTAGTTAGGGGCGCCAAAATGTGCTTTGAATAATTTTATTGATGAAAATAATGGGCTTGAGAGTTGAAAAAAAGAAAACGGGGCGCTTTAAAGTGGATCTAGTCCCCGGGCGCAAAAAACACCCTCGCTACGCCTCTGACTGGGGCTGTGTAACATTTAACGAACATTCAAGCATCATCCTCTGCCTTGTTAATGTACCGACGGTACACTTCATTTCAACATAAGCTACGTTTCATCTTTATTTCATTTGAAAACAGCTATATTTCATCTTTACACCTTTACAGCAATTACTTTGTGCACCTGTACGACTTCACGTCATTTCGAGTTGGTCCGGCTGTTAATCAGGATGTCTTCCATGTTCCCCTGGGAGTGGCGTGTACGCCGACGCTGGTGGATAAGCCTATGCCCACGCTTCCTGACACTTTTGAACTAGCCATAGAGGTTGTAAGAGCTTCGATGGATTATTAGAGATAACTTAGAAATAGCCCGACCAACAATTGGCGATTCGTGGACTTCACATCTACTCAAATTACTTGAAAAAACATGCCTTGAAGAAACGCATTTGATAAAACTCACCAAATAGTGCCAACTTCTGGGAACTTATTTTAGTGCGCCTATTTTTAACATCATTCCAGCCTTTCATACGTACATGCTTAGAGAGTTATTATTTACACTGATACCCATTAGTTGTTTTCAATTTTAATGATTGCGCGTGTTCTGATTCAAGTTTTAAATTGATGATGCTTTAAAAAAGCTTTTTCTTTTGTTTGATCTTATAATTATAAGACTTTATAGTCCCCTGCATTACAAATGCATTTACACGCTGAAGACACGTACACAATTCACAGCCCATTAAAATCCATTGGTTCAAGAACTGTTTACTTATTTAATGAACCAATTTGAATTTGATATTAGATTTCAGACACGTATGTAATTTTAAAAATGCAGAAAACCATGTAATTTATTGTCGACTTATAATTGTCCGTGTCTTGATTTATTTTTGAGTAGGTTACACCAAATACCGATACACCAGTCCAGTGTCGCCTAATATACGATTTAAAACACGGATTGGTTGAGGCGAGAAATTCGTACGTGGAACAGCCCCAGAAGAAGAACACACATGCCAATGAGAAGGGATACTACACCTCCGTCTGGGTGGAGGACAACAAGCATAGAGTGACGTACATAGTGAATGAGGTAAGCAGGTCTTTCAACAGCCCTCCCCCCTCCCCACCACCGCGGAGGTGCTGCTTACACAAACCAGGAAAGTTCGCCGAAGAGAAGTCCTTGTGGCGAATGTCCTCTTTGACGGCTTTTTGTACCGAGCGGTCAGTGCTACTTAACCAGCAGTCACCTAAAAGGTTGTCGCCGTAAGTTACTTAATAATCAACAAACGTTACAATTTTCGGATATCTTGCGCCTACTAGAGCAGTGTTACCTAGAGTGTGGTACGCGTAGCCCTGGGGGTACGGGAAGAATTTGTTGGGGGGTACGGGAAGAATTTGTTGGGCGGTACGCGCTGCAAAAGAAAAAAAACTACTTTTTTGTTGTTTCGGCATATGCAATTATTTATTTTTTAACGAGAGTTACTCGGTGCTACAAAAATTATAGACTGGGGCACACTGATGTCCAGTGTTTCTTTCAGAAATATTCCCCCCTGGAGGGGCACTTCATATTTTCAGGGGGGGGGGGGCGGTGCCAGCAGTTCCAGTTGATTTAGGGTTGAACATATTTTTGCCCCGGAGGGGGGGCACTTGGCTTTTCCCGGGGCGGGGAGCACTGCCCTCCCGGAGATATAGCTGAAAGAAACCCTGCTGATGTCGAACGTTACGGAAACACTGTACTAGAGAATTTGATGGGGCTGCAAATAATGATAAGTTATTAGTAAATCTTTCTTTCTAATCGCCTTAACGATGCATACGCAAATGTATGCGTATACACTGATATTTTTAAACGACGTAGATATCATGCGATTAAAATCAACATCATCTTAATTTAATAATCAACCTGGTTTAAAGAGTTGCTGTATTACCCTACAGGTCACAATGACATGTCACGCATTTAAAATCCCAGACGCCGATATGAAATTCCGGGCTGATTCCTCCGTAGACCTGTTGCAAACGGCTTCGGGGAAACGAAAATTCTACTATAAGGTACGTGCATCCGAAGACGCTTGTGCCAGTACAAGGCGTATGCAATTTTACAGTTTGGGAGGGGGGGTGAGGGAGGGCTGGGGGGGTGAAGACTTGTACTTCTATTCTAAGACAAGGTACAGGTAACCTGGTGGATTTACATGTGTACTTATATTTGTATGTAACTTTAATCAAAACGTCTGCCAATTAGCAACACGTGCTAAACTTGTCGCTGAAGTTTACATTTAAAAAAAAAATTTAAGCGAATTAATAAATTGGTTCCGACAGTTTTTTTTTTTATCTAACTTTTGTGAAATGAGTTTATGTTCTTTCCTTTTTTATGCATAGGGTCAGACGATATTCAGAAGGATGCTGGTGGATGCGTGGACCTCTGAACTCAACGGACTGGTCCAAGAATTTTATTTTCTTGCCAACTCGAGTGGATCTCCCAGGAATAGCACGAAATGGAGTGAGCGAAACAGGTTCCGGTACCCGACACCCGTGGGAATGCTGCTGAAGAATAACACGGCAACGTCATCCCACCAAATGTCGCGCATTTACGCGGAGTTCACAAGAACGGCTACGGAGCTGACAAGAGAGCTCAAGAAAAGCGGATTTTTGCCCACAAATGAAACTTTTCAAATGGGCCGTAAATTAATCAGAACGGTAAGTCAACTGAGCACAGTGTATAAATTGAACTTCTTCCACTACAGCCCGATCCTCACCTCCACAGAATACTTCTCCGTTGCCGACTGTTACAAGGAAGCCGAAAGATTACCCTTGGTCGTTAAAGTGAACAACTGCAGCGTGAGGGAGGTATTCTATAACATGAAAGGGTTTGTAAATTCACTGAGGCGGGCGCTCGCCGACCACTCTAACTTATCCATCATCCAAATCAGCGAGGTGGCATTACTCACACCACCACACCTAGAGCTGTCTCAACGCGCGAAGTACATTTATTTGACACTTTTAGGCACTCCTCGGGTCAACGACGTTCAGCAGCTGGCTATAGGTCCCGCAAAACTGGCCCTAGCTCATGCCATCCAAAAGGGGATTCAATTCGAGGTACAGTACGGGAATTTTTCAAAAGTGTTCCGAGTCAGTAAGGAATTAATGGAAGTAAACAGTACGAATTTCATCAATATTTTTTTTGGCCCATCGAACAAGACCGGACAGGCTTACAGTACCTACAGACTAGGATCTCGAATGTTCAGCAAATACCGCAGTCCCACTAAAGATAATTCGAGGAGGTATTCGCCCACCGCAGTGGCTGGCGTTGCGTTTTCAATGCTCACACTTGGAGCCTCGTTGTGTCTCTTCGTGAGCATTTTCCTGTACAAGAAACGTCACCCCGGACAATCGTTGATCGCATTGGGAGAAACAGAGTAGAATCTAAAACCCGACCACAACACCTTTCACGTCCGACTTTAACACCTTTCATGGTCAACTGTAACACGTTTCACGTCCGACTGCAACACCTTTCACGTCCGACTGCAGCACCTTTCAAGGCCGACTGCAACACTTTTCACGTCCGACTGTAACACCTTTCAAGGCCTACTGCAACACCTTTCACGTCTGAATGCAACACCTTTCAAGGCCGACTGCAACACCTTTCCCCTTATTTTATCATCTTGCTGATGGCAACTGTCCTCACTCTTTCTCTTGTAAACCAACCACTAACGTTTCCTTGCTTATATTTGCCTGATGTGTAAAGCCAGTAACGTATAAGCCTACAAAAATTCCCTCTTTTCCCTTTCCTAAAACCAACCCAACTTAAAAATCAAACCAGTAAAACCCTCTGCTGATCACTCTCTGCCAAAATGTATATAATGTACAGGCAGCTCTTCATTTAAGACGACTTGTATTGCGGGACTAATTATTGTTCTGATAGAAATTGCCCCATCTTCAAAATTTTTGACACCAGGTTATTTAATTTTGACCTCCTACACCCTCCCAGCCAACATCTCCCCCATGTGTCAAGGTTCATTGAGTCTTAAAAAGTCCTACCCATGTCCTTGATTATGCTACAAACAAACTAAAGGACTGCTCACTCTCTCCCAAAACCCATTTCGTTTCTGAGAGTTAAAAGAGAGTTTTGAGAATTACATAATATACATTTGATTAATTTTTAAAATTTTGTTTATAATTATTATTTCAATAGCAAATATAATCTTAAATTCAGTTAAACTAGACACATTTTAAAGATACATAATAAATATACATTTTGAAAAAATAAATGTTTTAATTTATATTTCAACATCAAAATTAATAAGGCAAAAATAAATCATTTAAATTTAAGCACTTTCTCAACTAAGTTAAACGAGACACATTTTAAAAATTAATAATAAATTTCTTTTAAAAAATATGTTTCATTAACATTTCAACAGCAAAATTAATCTTAAACTAAGTTAAACAAGACACACTTTAAAAACTAATAGTATAAATTTTCATTTTAAAAACAATATGTTTAATTTATATTTCAACAGAAACATTAATAAGACCAAAAAAAAAAAAAATCATTTAAATTATATGATACAAAAATATTTCCTTTACTTTCCTTACTTACATACAGGCATCACTCTGGTTTGTTTAATAATAAATATTTAATTTAAAAGAATGAAGTAGTACTTTCTGTGACAAAAAAGTAAGTTCATTTCAATACAACTTTTATTAGAAGGTAGTGCCATGCTTAAACATTTTAGTGAAAATTTACATGTTTAATTTAACATTTGTACAGCACATGAGTTGTGAAGATTTTAAAATAAATATGCAAGAAATGTTTGTTCGAAAGTAATTTTTTTTTCTTTATGCATTTTTATATTCTCTGTATTAAACGAAACTAGTTTGTGTCTGAAATACAGTCCTGATAGCTAGATTTGGACTTCTTTTTACCTGCAAACAAAAACTGTTAGGATTTCTGTATACTTCGCAGCACAGAAATGATCCTCTGTAAACCTGAGGTCAAACACAGGAAGAAATAAATAAACAGTAATGATTAAGTAAAGTAATTTAAGGATCAATATTGAGCAAGTTTTATTACATGATTAACAAAAGTAATTTTAAATATTATGTAAGGTTTTTAATTCATTTTTGGTGATTAATGTACATATATAAAAAAAATATAAACACAGAAACTAATTTCTTAAATTAAATTACTACTTCAATTTTAAAATTTTTTATTCAATTTCAAATTTTAAATTTTAATACTAGGGTACAAAAAAAAGTGTTTAAATGTCATAATATTTATTTATCATGATATAACCTTCATTGTGGACTTCTTCATCGAGGGATGATACCACACGAAACCATCCTGGCTCTTTAGCATAAAAAGACTGCCCAGGTAGAAGAAATACACGGCTTTCCAGGAATTTATCAAACAGCAATTTTTCTGCTTCGAAAGATTTTTCTGGCAAATACTATTCATTGACAAAAATTTAATGTGGTAAGGTTTGGTCTTGCTATATGTGGAAAACTATGTCATAATAATTTTAAAAGATCAACAATAAAATTTAAATTATTTTACTTAAAAAAATATTTGTCATAATTTAGTTGAAAATAAAAAAAAATATACAAATAATAATTATGCATAATCAAATCTGCTAACATATAGTGATGTATAGTGTTTAAGAATTAGGGGGTAAAAGAATTGCATATGCAAAGCGCAATGAAAAAATAAAACTCCAATGTTCATTCATGCAATAAAAGTCTATTTGTTATACGCAGCAGTGTAAAACTAGAGCACTTGAGTGAACACAGGCTAAATGAAATTAAAGACAAACCTCTCTTATCCTTATAACCATTAAATAGCTCTAGTCCTCTAACATTAACAATATCTGAAAGCATTTCTGAACACTGGCTTTAAAGGTCTGCAAGATGGCCACACTTACTGTCCTGTGGTTCAGCAGGAGCCGAGAACACCCAACAGCAACATGCACTGACCAGCATCAAGTCTCAGACCTGACTTACTTCAGAAATAACAGAACTCTTCAACTAAAGTTGTTGTTTTTTCCAGTATAATTACTATTTCACACTTGAAATGTAATTTTCAGCAACTGTGCAACCACTATTGAGAGATAACTTACATTTTTTTAAAAATATATACATTACTGCTTTAAATATTGATTTAAATTCTGATTGCAAATACCTCTGAGAAGTTTGCCCAAATAAAGATGGTTGCTGGACTAGGATATACTTGGACAGCATGAGCCTCTAACACAGATTTGTACTGCTGGAACCTTTCGCTCTTGCGCTTCTTCATGGTTGGGAAAAAAGTTTTGTCTAGCCACTCTAGTCGTGCAAGATTTGAAATTGTAAGTTTTTTAACACAAATGATTAAAAAAAAAATTTATTATTCCAAGCTTTTACGAGGATTAGTGTCTGGACATTTATGAATATAAGCCTACTGCCGTAAAAATATAAGTATATCTTGTTCATTATTGTGCAGTGAAAATATGCATAAAATCAAATTAAATTATTCCTATTATGGTACCAAGGGTTGAACAAACTGGAGTGGAAAATATTTTCTATACAATTCCAATAAACTTTCAAATGAAATATGAACAATTTTTTCTATTGCCAGTAACAACTAAATTCACAAAAATTATCTGAATGTATATTTCCACAAATTGTCTTTGAAGATATACCTCGATAAAACAACTGTGCACAAAATTTGAAGCTAATGTTAACTGCTTGATTCGTTACCTGTGTCATCTAAAATAGATTTAAGCCTGTGCTGTATAAGTCCAGCAGCTCTAAAGTAAATACTTGTCAAACCAAAATATTTAGTCAATGCTTCATTTTTAGTATAGAACACACCACAACGATAGCCTGAGAGACCAAAATCCTGTAGAGAAAAAACAAATTACATTTTAATGAAGGAAATAAAATTATAAGCATGAAATGACAAATTTTCTAAATTAGTTATTAAAGCAATGAACTAAATTTTTAAAATTTGAGATATTTTTGCCACAAACATTCAGTAGGTGCATTGGGTTATAGAGGATTTTAAAATAATTTTTATACATGATCACTTAAAGAACAAAAAGTTCCTGAGATGAATTAGGAAAATGTTAATGGAAATAGCTAGTAGAGGAAACTTAGGCCACATCCAACAACTGTAGTGCTAAAACTGCAATAGACTGCAGGCCATCAAAGAAAAGAAGTAAGTAAGACATGCTTGGAAAGACTTTGAAAGATACATTTTGAAAGGCATTACAAAAATGTTGTTAAACTATAAGCTGAGAAAATGCATCAAATTCGTAGTTATTTGTCCCTACGTTCTACTCTGTTCCATGCTGGGTGATGGTCAGAAATTAAACCTAACTGTGGTGCTGCTTTTTGGTATTTGTTTTTAATTGTGACAACATTTCTTAGAGTTAAGGATATTTTTTTAAAATTTTGACTGTAGATAGTAATTCACAACATTTCTTAGAGAAAATATCATTTTAAAAAAAAATGATGATTACTTACCTTGCTGACGCCCCAAGTGAAATGAACCTTGTCAGGATCAGGATGTACTAGAGATAAGATGCTAGTGAACTTAACATCTGGATGGAAAACTGAAAGTCCGTAGATCTCATTTGCTATAACATGAAGCTGGTGCCTGGAGAAGTAATGATATTGTCAGATGAAATTTTTTTACTCACAATGGCATATGTACCAAAAATTAAATCACATAACCTTACCTTCAAAAAAGAATGGCTACTTCAAATTATAAAGTGTCAGTAGTAAACACTTATATATTAATATTTTTGGAAATAATGATTTGTACGAAAAAAATAAACGTACAATATACACACAAATGTACGAAACAGTTTATTAGTCGCACCTGTGAGCAAACTGTAATACATCTGTTAGTTGTGACTCTGTTAGTACACCACCAGTGGGATTGTCTGGGTTAATGATCATCACAGCTTTAACCAGCTTTCCCTGGTGGATGAGAAGACCATGATATGAAATAGAGTGTGCATCACGTTAGTAAATAAAGCAGTCTGTGGAAAGATTTTGAAAAAGTCAGTGCATTTATTCACACAGTTTAGACATTCATTTAAATAGATTTACAGGATTAGGAACGGCAAGTTATACATTGAAAGGTTTTGCTCAATCTGGCTAGTAATTATGATAGGTATTATATATCAAATAGAAGTAATTCCACCTGTAAGTTAGCATGGTCACACCAAAAGAGATTCGTGTAAATGAAACATGGAAATCGATGAAGCCCTGACACTGATTGTATTTGATCAAAGTTTCCTGAGAAAGAATATTGGGGATCAACTGCCACATTTATTTAAGGAATGAGTAAATCTAAAGAGACACAGGGAAAAAAAAAACTTTACAGTGTGCCCTCTGGAGTGTATGTCCTATTTCTACAAGAGATGTGTATTGTTTGGGGGAAAACAAATCAAACTGGTTGCCACCACAAGGAAAGGGAAGGGCAAGAATGACCTCAGATGAGTAGTAATAGTAAGTCTTTCTATAAATCATGAAATTTTACAGAAAATAGCTAAAATAACTAAATGTTTACGAATGCATAAGGCTTTTAGATGAACATCTACATTAACCAGAGATGTTAAAGAAGAAAATAAACATTGACATAAATATAAAAGCAATTGTTTGTCCATGTCCTCAGAAAGTTGTCGATTTATAAATTTTTAAAGTTTCTACTGTGCAAAATTTGTAAATCATTAGGATGTAGAGCATCATTCCATCTAACCAGCTATAAACCCTCAACAGGGCAGAGTGAAAAAGAGTGTATGTCATTACCTCATCCACTGCTGATTGATAAACTGCTTCTATGTCATTAACAAAGCTCTGTCCAAGGGTTCTTGAATTGATCTGTGGATATATGACCGGCATTTATCTTTATCACTTTTTTAAAAATCAATGTTACAAAAAATGTCATATGTAGACTAAAAGAAAATAAAGGAAAACTAATCACAACTAAATCTCTAGGTATGTAATGACAATAACACTGTGTTCAATAGATGCACAAAGTAAAATTCCCAGAAGTTACCACTAATTGCTGCATTTTAATAAAGAGCGTTACTTGAATCCATGTTTTCTCAAGTAGCTTTAGTTGGATTGTCAGTTCACGCTTTGCCCTCCGCCATTGTATGGTGTGCTATAGCTAGTAACTTATAAACATTTTGACATACTTACGTCACAGCCTAAAGGAACCTCCAGCACATTAACACTTGGACGTTCATAAACATCATTACGTATGCGGTAGTAATATGGAGTGGTTACCATGATGTGGTCTGGAATGCATCAACTTAATAGCTGTAAGTTCTTGTAACAATTAAATAAATTATGAATTGAATAAAAAAAAAAAATTAACACAGGTTAAGTCAAACAAAGAAGCCAATTACTATAACTTATTTTAAAAATATAAATATAAGAAAAGATTCATTTATTCATAAAAATAAAAGTACTTTTTTTTCTTTTCAATTGCATCCCACACATTCATTTTCAGCATACAAATAAACACTCTTACAAAGAAAAACATATATAAAATAATACTGACCACCAGGATCAGCCAATGCAATGGACAAAGCTTCTAAGACTACTGTGACACCATTGGTTACAAATATCTATAACAAAATAAAGCAAATTGTCAACACCATAAATGTTATTTCCAAACACTACACTGAAGTTTTTGGTTAAACGCAATATAAAGCAATAAAATGAGAGAGCCCAGCAAAGAAAGAGATGTTTAAAATTATTATTTTAAAAGTCTTCAAATTAGAATAACGAATTTGGATATTGAGCAAATTTGTGTTAAGAGTGAAATTAAATATTTGATTTTTACTATTCTTTCTCTTCATTATTAAGCACAACTCTAGAGAATCTAACGGCAAGCCTATGTTTGCTCACTCTTTCTGTGACATGTGAAAATTGTGTTAGTCACATAAATAAAACATAAAATTAATAAGTTTTAGCTGAAAGTTAATGGTGAAATTTATGAGATTTTTTTTTTTTTAAACCATGCAAAAACCATTGGACTAATACACTTAGAGTTAGAGCCTATCCATCCCATGCAATTGGTGGTCAGAATAAAATGATTAGACGCTTATAAATGACATTACGCTATCAATGTTGAGCTCCTCTTTTGCTTGAAATCGACTTTCAATAAATGTTTTCAATGTCTTCTTGAACCTTAAATAGAATTAAAACAAAATAACACATGATAAAAAAAAATGTTATTTTCATAATTATAAATAAATGAAAAAAAAAAAAAGATATTTTTGCACTTATTTAAGACTTACCAGTTTATAAGTAATTGAAGGTTAGTTGTCTTGGGTTTGGAAGAGCAAAAAAGTGGAGAGGCTAGGTTTATTTGAACTCTGGATGTGTGTTCTTTTGTCAATGTAGTCTGCTATTTAAAATTTCTTTTAGTATCCTCAAAAATTTTGTCAATGTAGTCTGCTGTTTAAACTTTATTTAGTACATTCAAAAATTTTGACAACGTAGTCTGCTATTTAAACATTATTTTAGTATATTCAAAAATTTTGTCAACATAGTCTATTATTTAAACTTTATTTTAGTATATTCAAAAACTTTGTCAATGTAGTCTAGTATTTAAACTTTATTTGAGTAGGCCTATATTAAAAAATTTTGTCAGTATAGTCTGCTATTTAAACTGTTATTTTAGATATTCAAAAATGATGTCAATGTAGTCTGCTATTTATATACCTTATGGTCAAGAAACTTTCCTCGTTAGGTGTCAATTTAAATATTCATGCTTGGATACTGAACTTTTTAACAAATCAACCACAATATGTCAAAGTAAATAACCAAGTATCTCCAACTAGAGAAATAAGCACCAGGGCACCACAAGGCTGCGTTCTCTCTCCTGTACTGTATACAATATATACATATGATAATCAAAGTTCAAGCGACACCGTTCCAATCTTAAAATTTGCTGATGATACCACCATTGTTGGCTTAATATCTGAAGGAGACAGCCTATACCGCAACTTAGTCTTCTTCTTCTTCTTCTTCTTCTTCTATATCTTAAGGGCCCACGATCAATTGGTGCAATGAAAATGTTCTCCAGTTGAATGTCTCAAAAACGAAAGAAATGGTAGTTGATTTCATGAGGGGGAAACACCAGATTACAGATCTCAACATAAAAAAATCATAATGTAGAGAAAGGGGAGGCATACAAGAACTTAGGTGTCACCATTAATAATAAGCTAACATGGCATGAGCATGGCAAAATGCTGTATTCAACTAAAGACTGTTCTACCTCAAAAAACTGTACAATTTCGGCGTAAACAAGCAAGTCGTTAACTTAATCTACAGTGCAACTATTGGAAGCCAGCTTAATTTCAGTATTACCTGAGGTGTGGGAAATCAATGTCTGATATTAAACACCACATAAACAGACTAATCAAGAAAGCTAGGAACATAACACAAACTAAACATCCTTCACTAGAAGAACTATTTGAAGAAAGATGTTTTTGTAAAACTAAACACATTTTGGATGATACATCCCACCCTCTTCATCACAGATACTTAATATCGGCCCGTTCAGGATGAATTCTTTCGATCAGGGCGAGGACTGACAGATTTAAAAATTCTTTTGTTCCCCAATCTGTACAAATTTACCAGCGTGCTTCCTCTGACGTCACACATCTGAATGAGAACTAATAAGTCCCCGATTTCGCTAAGAGAACTCACTGAATGGCTGTTTGAAATAATTTATTATAAATGTCTTGTGTTCAAATTGTTTTATTTTTGTGCTGAAAATGTATAATGCAATCAAAAAAGATTTCCATTTATTTGGATCAATAAAAGAATCTTATCTTATCTTATCTATTTAAACTGTATTTGAGTATTGACAAAAATTATGTCCATGTAGACTGATATTTACAATTTTATTTTAGAAGATTCAAAAACTTTGTCAGTGTAGTCTGCTATTTAAACTTTATTTTAGTATATTAGAAAATTTTGCTAATGTATTCTACTATTACACTTTATTTTGATAGTAAAAAATGTTGTCACTTGATATGTTTCATTATATTTAGTAACTAAACTCATGTTCAAAAAAGGTCAATAGTTCATTAAAAATATTTATTCGCTGATTATGGCAACATTTAGAGCTAATTTCAACATCACAGGCACAAACAAAACAGCTTCTCACTCAATATTGCCGCTTGCCTTTTCATAATGCAGCAAGTGATGACCCTCAGGCTCTTGTGCTACAGATTTTATCTAAATATAGAAATGGTAACCAGGGGCAACAATAAAACAAGATTTATATTTTAAATTCATTGTTTTTTTGTTCTCTTTTTTGCCAAAAATATTTCAATATTAAACTGTGAATATACCGATCACAGGCAGATATGCCATTTATAAAGACATCTACTTTATAAATACATGATTATATTCTCAATTGCAATTCTAAAACACCATGGCCATTACCGATTAGATCAATTCCATTTTTTAACGTCTATGCAACTTTGAGAACTTTCCTACCTTTTCCTCCCACAAGTCATCACACAGCTTGTTCTCGGCCAGACCAAGATCAGCTATGCCCTGCAATCAGAGGTGATCGTGTCACGTATAACTTTGTTATGTTTGCACATCTTCTAATTAATAACATAGCATCTCGGTAAATCGTTGCTGCATTGGCAAAATATTATACAGAATAAGTCATTCAATGACTGACACTAAGATTCAAATAAAATCCACTATATGATTATTTGACCCGTTATCAATAAATATCCTAAGTAATTTACTATCCATTTGTCAGGAGTGAGACCCTTATCTTATGTGTACCCCTTCACCCCCCCCCCCCAAATGACGGACCATAAGATTCAAATAAAATCCACTATATGATTATTTGACCCGTTATCAATAAATATCCTAATTAATTTACTATCCATTTGTCAGGAGTGAGACCCTTATCTTATGTGTACCCCTTCCCCCCCCCCCCCCAACACACAGACACATCCCTAAAATTACTACCAACTTGTTTATGCCCTTTCGATTATTTTTTGTTCCTACAATTGTCACTGGGTTCTTATAGCCTTATATTTTAATATTTTATCACCTATGAACCCTTAATATCACCCTAGTTGTTAAATTATAATTTTAACAAGTTCACTATAAGTTCACCAGTCGATTTAATATGTTAAAGTCTTGAAGATATAAGAGGGATACTTAACCAATTAACAGACAGTTCAACTGAACTGGGTGCCTAGCCTTGACTAAAAACAGCCAGTTCAACTGAACCGAGTGCCTAAACACATTGACTATAAACACGCAACATTCAACTGAAAAATGGCCAAACCTTGACCATAAATAACAAGCCTTTTGATGTGCTTAGGTAATCAACTTGACGAATGTAAATAATTCACGAGCTGCAACTATAATTAGAACATCAATTGCTGACTTCAAAAAAACAACAACAAAAAAACACAAAAATCTGTCGAGCCCAATCAATTTACTCAGCCTGATTGGTACGGAACTTGTTGAGCAGGGCAACATTTTTACATTATGTTTATCTAGAACATTGATTCAACATTGGTTCCCAGCCTGTGCTCCGTGGAGCCCAAATGGCTATGCTTCATCGCTTGCACATCTCAGGGGCTCCATGAGCAGCTCCCTCCTCACGCCCTGCACATTATTAACTTGTAAAATATACGGCAGGACTAAGGGGTCCCAGTATTAAAACTCTTTCTAAAAAAAAGCTCCACGAGTAAAAAAAAAGTTGGGAACCACTGGTCCAGGTATGGCAAAATTTCGTAAAAATGTGTCGTTTCATTATAGCCAGAAATATATTAGTCTTTCAATAGAGTAGCTTTGTTTCTATATTTTCGGCATTGCAAGAGTTGTTTTATTTCATAGAAAATATATCATTTCCAATATTCTCTCTTATTGTAGTTTTTTTTTATTTTTTAAAGTAGCTATTTTTTAAAAATATTATACATTGAAAAGAAAAAGCACCAATAACCTTTGGATTGTCCAACGGATGATAACGATTGTTCCTGACCAGACTGAAATATGGCCCGATAAATGTGCCTTTCTGTAACATGTCTTGGGCTCGGCCTGATAGCGTCTCCTGCATGGCTGTGTCTGAAAGACAAAATCAGTTAATAGGTATTAACACAACAATAGCCTTTGCTATCATATGCGTCTTTGCTAACTCGCGCGTCTTTGCTAACCCGTCCGTCTCTGCTAGCCCAAGTGTCTTTGCTAACCCATGTGTCTTTGCTAGCCCATGCGTCTTTGATAGCCCAATTGTCTTTGCTAACCCATGTGTCTTTGCTAACCCATGCGTCTTTGCTAGCCCAAGTGTCTTTGCTAACCCATGCGTCTTTGCTAGCCCAAGTGTCTTTGCTAACCCATGCGTCTTTGCTAGCCCAATTGTCTTTTCTAACCCATGCGTCTTTGCTAGCCCAAGTGTCTTTGCTAGCCCAAGTGTCTTTGCTAACCCATGCGTCTTTGCTAACCCATGTGTCTTTGCTAGCCCAATTGTCTTTGCTAGCCCATGTGTCTTTGCTAGCCCAAGTGTCTTTGCTAGCCCAAGTGTCTTTGCTAGCCCACGTGTCTTTGCTAACCTATGTGTCTTTGTTAAATCGTGTGTCTTTGCTAGCCCAAGTGTCTTTGCAAACCCATGTATCTTTGCTAACCCATGCGTCTTTGCTAACCCATGTGTCTTTGCTAGCCCAATTGTCTTTGCTAAACCATGCGTCTTTGCTAGCCCAAGTGTCTTTGCTAACCCATGCGTCCATGCGACCTATCAAACAATGGTCTCTGGTTAGCCATCAGACGCCACCAAACACGAACACGGCTCTCAGTGTGTTAGCACACTTATTTTAAAACCTCTTTTTTGTGCCACCAGCCAGGTGGACCGTCTCAGCTATTAGTCCGTGATTCAAACAGGGACCGGAAATTGTTTCAACGAAAAGACTTCCTATTTTCCCTCCTGGAGTGATTTTCTTTCTATCGATTCACTGACTTATTTTTAAATGAAGACAAAACTGATGGTTTTCTTGGCTTTTTTTGTTTGTTTAATCATGTTTTCTGATTGCTATTTGTTTCCAATTGTAAGCATAGGATTAGGTAACCATCACAGCTGTATTTATTTACGGGATCAACTGTGATTGGGAGAGATTTGGTAGTAGGGCAGTCTGCAAAGTCAAAGGATTTATATTCATTGTAGAAGAAACTTAAATATGTTGTTTTCGTTGTTGTTATTTTTTATATATTTTCTGCATAGACTTTCTTTGCGTAGTAATTATTATGAAAATAAATATATATATATTTTTTTAATTCTATTAAACTTGTCTTAGAAAGAAGTTTTTTTTTTTTTTTTTTTTAAGCGTTTATAATATAAATAGATATAAATTTATTTATTTATTTTCTACTTCTTAAGTATACAAATTTAAGTCTGTCAATTATCGAACAAATATAATTTTAAAAATAACGAATGCTTACAAAATCCTGGCTATAGTGTCTTAGCTCTATTCCCAGGCATAAGCTAAAAAGTCGATTTTAACGACTGGGGCGATTTATAGTCCCTTGTCGCTTGTGTCCGTTGATCAGAGACTCGATCTCAAAATGCACTGACCCAAGTCCTCCTCCCCTCATCCCACCCCACAAATCCTACAGTCACGGCCGTTGGTTATTGGAAGAGACAGGGTGAGATTATTGTTTCTAATCCCCTCTTCTTATTTCCTCCTCACTCACCACCCCAATCCCACCCTCCGTCTTCCAAGCATACAGTGGGTGTAACTTAGTGTCATCGTCTCAGATGCGACCTTGCAGGTCAGCACGGGGCAGACTGGATCGACAGAGCGAGAGGGTCACATGTGACAACAACAAAAAATTTTCTAAAAATGTTCAAACCCACAATGGATTTGCGAGTATAATATTTTTAAAAAAAATTAATACTGTCTGATAATCTACAAACATCAACAAACATCCATGACTGTTCAGACCCATCTCTTATACTTAAACCCGAGTGGAATTTGTCCACCCTACGGAGTTATTATGTGAATTACATTAAATCCCTTGAACTTTGACATCAAAACTAGTTTTTTTCTTTATTTAATAACTAATATAAACGTTCTTTTCAAGTAATCCAATGGATTTCCAATGGTCAATTTAATTTAACATCATTCAATAAAGGCAAAATCTAATTTAAGCTGCACGAGAAAGTATAAACAGCAATAACAATCCCTAGAACTTACGAAGTAATCGCCTCCACATACAGAAGAAATGAACACAGTCGACTATCAGCTCTCACTAAATATCGTAAACGGAGTTTATCCTTCAATCACCAAATCTGTAGCATCGTATGATATCTCTGAACTCGATACCGGTACCTATACAAGTGGAGGGAAAAAAAAACATGTGTGTAAATACATGAGGAAAACATGCACACTAACATAAGCAGGGAGGAGTCAAGGGGTTCGTCCATAAAGAAAGTCACGCTATTTTTTTGAACATTTTCACCACCTCATTCCTTGAGGAGTCAAGGGGTTCGTCCATAAAGAAAGTCACGCTATTTTTTTTAACATTTTCACCACCTCATTCCTTTTGGTTACCAATCTGAGACCCAACCTTCTCCCAAAAGTACGCCGCACCGTCGAACTAAAACAACTGTTCCAAAATTAAAATATTTAAAAAAATTTAATCTAAAACATATTTCACTATTAAACTATTAAATTCTTCTACCGAAATTCATCCGTCAACAACACAAAGTTGAGCACCGGCATCAATTTCAGGTTTAAGTATGATAACAATTTTTACCCCGCCTCGTCGTGTCAGAAACTGTCATACTTTCTTAGACCCCCCTCACCCACTCCGGAGCCTAGAGTACTTTATATACACACACGCTCCCTTCACAACACTACTCAATATACGTCTAGACCGGAAGGTGTTGAACTGATCGAAAATCGCTTAAACTATTTTAAGTATTTGGAACGATGCCTAAGGATTAGTAACTATGTCATACTTATAGTTTAGGCCAAAACGTGCCAAAGTGTCATGGTTTATAGCCATTTTAATTATTTCTATAGTATAGTAGTTACTATCCTAGTGTCTCATTTTTATTTTACTTAGTTTACATGTTTTTAATAATTGTAAAGCGCTTAGAGCTTTAAGGTAAGCGCTATATAAAAATGCCTAAAAAAATAAATAAATAGCTTGATGATCAAGCACAGTGTATCCAAAATATAAATATAATAAGTATTACTGTTCGTCCTTCGCATGCGAAGATCACCAAGGTTGCGATTTGTTTAGTAGCCTTGACTTGTTTAGTACCCTTGACTTGAGTAGTTGCTTTCACTTTTTTAGTAGCCTTGATTTCAGTAGTTGCCTTGACTTGAGTAGCAGCCTTGACTTGAGTAGTAGCCTTGACTTCGGTAATAGCCTTGACTTGGGTAGTAGCCTTTACTTGAGTAGAAGCCTCGATTTGAGTAGTAGCCTTGACTTGAGTAGAAGCCTTGACTTGAGTAGTAGCCTTGACTTGGGTAGTAGCCTTGACTTGGGTAGTAGCCTTGACTTGGGTAGTAACCTTGACTTGGGTAGTAGCCTTGACTTGGGTAGTAGCCTTGACTTGAGTAGTAGCCTTGACTTGGGTAGTAACCTTGACTTGGGTAGTAGCCTTGACTTGGATAGAAGCCTTGACTTGGGTAGTAGCCTTGACTTGGGTAGAAGCCTTGACTTGGGTAGTAGCCTTGACTTGGGTAGAAGCCTTGACTTGGGTAGTAGCCTCCATTCATCCGCCTAACTCTCTAGCCCTTGCCTAGTTGTTCCAATGGCAAAACTTAGTCAAGACGACTGGCGGCAGACCAGGATGCAATGGATGACCAGCAGTGTATTTTGTATCTCTGAGTGCTCTTAAGCAGGAGTTGTCGGAAGTTGTATTGTGTATTACCGCCTACGGGACTCCATCTCCTGGTTTGTTTTGAGTTTGCCTTCCCTTAGATGGCTTGCCGGCCAAGGTTAACGAGTGCCACCTACCCCAGAGCGCATTTGCTGTTTTTGCTTGTCTATACTGTGATGTAACTCCAGAACACAGGCTTCGTATTGACCCAGTTTAAACCAATCGGCCACCCAGCACCCATTAAATAATACGTTTATCGGAAGGAAGATAAATATGGGCCTCCGGTATTCACATGGACACGGCTTCGACTCCGTAGGCTTGATAACTTATCAACATCCCTTTTGGACTTCTGAACATACCAGAGGAATACAGATGTCACACGGTCTCCTACGTACATATTTTGAACAAAACCCTTCCCGGCATGAGGCCTCTTGTTTTGCGTGGATAATAACACTCGTATTTCACTACCAAAATGTACATGGTTAGCTGTAATGTGATGTGTGCTCATTTCCCGTACGTCCAGCTGCACAGATGCACTTCTACGCTCGTGTGGCTTCATCTGTCAAAGTCAATGTAATTGTCGAGTTCAGAGTCGGCGTGATGACTTCTTTATTCAGACCCGCTATCTCGCCGATTCATCCCTACATACCCCGTGACGGATGAGCCGTTAACATAACGAGTTCTGGGGTTCTCATAGCAATTAGCGCCAAACGTTTGAACCACATTATAGAGGGGCTTTCTGTCAAGTGTTGAAACACCACAAACAAAAGCGGTCGCCTTGTGGTTTCGAGTGGATACAACGTGAGGGTCCAATTGATTATTGTTATATGACGCCGTATTTTCTGTCGACGACCCCCACCCACCTATTTAAAAAAAAAAAAAAAAAAACAAAAAAAAAAAAACATAACTTGGGCGGGGGGGGGGGGGGGGGGGGGTGATAAAACTTAGGGTCAATGACCTTTAAAAAAATGAGGACTCTCCCACCTTGCCAGCCCCCTGATCATTGTATAGGATCCCTGTGAGTTTCAATCCAATAGGACATGTTTCAAACTTCTTCAATGAGAATAGGGAAAAAATCAGGGCCGGGGGTTGGGGGTGGGGGGGGCTGTAGACTCATTTTTCCTATTAAAAAAAACAAATGTTGATATTATTGTTTTAAGAGAAAGCGATAGGTTTTAAATTTCAGAAAAAAGTTACATATTTTTTTTTTATTTACAGAAAAATGCCGAAAAATAACTATGTGTCCCATTTTATTTTTAACTGCTTAGTTATAACGTGCTTCAAATTTTAAAAAAAAAATAAATAAATAAAAAAATACGGTCTGGCACAAGTTGAACAAAGACAAAAATACATATCTAGATGCGGACTGCCCAACAAATAGAATTAATAGTTAATGTCTTAATATAGAATTAAATCCATTTCAAACATTTGTTAAAATAGACCAGGTTAGCATCACGTTACGTGATCTACGAGGCAGCCAAATCACTGTATACAGATGTCAAAACAACTGCTATCCAAGTCCTAACCAAAGAAGCGATTTTTAAAGACGCCCATAACATTTTATTTTCACTTATAATTTGATATTACGCTTTGACTTTGAACATAGCTGAAAAAAAAACAACCATTATCTTCTTTTATATCATGATATAAATTCAAGCGTCTAGCTTAGACGGTAAATACATAAAAAGTGATGTGTCCATCGGGGTATTGTAATTACTTTTGCATCACACTGAAAAACAAAAATAATTAAAGAAAAAAAAAAAAAAAAAAAAAAAAAAAAAAAAAAAAAACTTAGCTTAATGTTATAGCCATGAGTTAGGTCCTTTTAATTTATTTTTTAACGTGTATCTCCCGTAAACCCCCCCCCCCCACACACACACACTTTTTTTAGCTTCACACGAGTCCAGCTTTTCAAACCGATTATGAACTTCCAAAAGAGTTTCCTGACTTCACGGTCGATTAAGTTTCCTGTATTCACGGCCGATTGAGTTTAGCCACGGCCTATTACGGGAATATAGCTTAATTTGAGTTTTTCATACAGATACGTTTCAGGGCCAATGTCCCAAAATGTGAGGCAGCCCTCGATAAGGTCAATGTTTGCAATCATTTAATCGTTTTGCTAAACATAGCCACATAATTCTTGCCAGATATGACTCTTGATAACTTTGAAACTACGCTAAAAAAAAACAACAATTTCAGTGGAAGCAGTCACTAAAAGCGAATACATTCTAATTTTAATAACTAAATGTTTGAGAGTCACTGGTTCCCTATCTACACTGATATCTACACTGGCTTTTAGGATATTTAAATTCATTGTGTGATGCTTCCTCACTTACTCATGCCTTTTACCCCGTCTGGGGCATATGCCGTCTACAAGAATTCTCCATTTATCTCAGTTCTTTGCTTTCTATACCTTTTGCGTCGAGGTGTTTCCAACAGTTAGTGTGTCTGCCCCTTTGTGTTGAAAATCCTGACCTTGGTTTCCAGAGTCAGCTCTTCTGACTCCAATATTTTCTTTAATAGCACAAATGCTGACCTAGCCTTTACAATTCTCGCCCTGAAATCAGCTTGTGATCCACTATTTATGTCAAGGTTGCTGCCGAGGTATGTGAAGGCCTTCACTTCTTCCAGCACATTTCCTGCCGGAGAGATATGCTCTTCGTTGGCCGAGTTCAACTTCATGATGTTTGTCTTGTTTTTATTTATATTGAGTCCAAGCTGTGCTGAAATGGTGGCTACGTCTTTAGACTTTCCATTTTCTTGTTGCTGACTGTGAGACAGAAAAGCAATGTCATCTGCAAAGTGTAGGTCTTTCAGTTGTTCCCAGGGTGTCCACTGGATCTCGTTCCTCTTTTTGTCTGTGGACTTTTGTCATTTTCCTGTCAATGGCAAGAATGAATAGAAAGAGGGACAAGAGACATCCTTGTCTGACTCATGCTTCCACTTAAAAAAGGCACCTGTGAGTCTTCCTTGGTGTACCACCCTGCATGTCATTTCTTCATTAGAACTCTGAATGATCCTGACTAGTATTCCTGGGTCGGAGTCATTTCCACAGGATTTTTCGGTCCAAATACCCTCTAATATCTCAAACTAAATGTTTGAGATTCACAAGTTCCCTATCGTGATCGCTAAACTGGCTTTTAAATATTTAAATTCATTATGTAATAAGCTTGCAATAAAATGGATGAAAAACTCTATTTGTAGTTTGACCTTTTTGAACGGCTTTATTTCACTTTTAGTTTTATCCAATGTTTTAACTCATGTTCTGTGGACCGGCAACGTAAGGCTCCGGGACCGGCAACGTAAGGCTCGGAGTCCGGCAACGTAATTCTCTTGGACCGGAAATGTAAGGCTCGAGGACCGGCAACGTAAGGCTCGGGGACCGGCAGCGTATGGCTCGGAAATGGAAAACGTAAGTCTCTTGGACCGGAAAATGTAAGGCTCGAGGACCGGCAACGTAAGGCTCGGGGACCGGCAACGTATGGCTCCAGGACCGGCAACGTAAGGCTCGGAGACCGAAAACGTAAGGCTCTTGGACCGGAAATGTAAGGCTCGAGGAACGGCAACGTAAGGCTCGGGGACCGGAAATGTAAGGCTCGAGGACCGGCAACGTATGGCTCGTGGACCGGCAACGTAAGACAAGGGGACTGGTGCCACTATCGAGCTAATCCTTTAAACCGTTGGGGGGAAAAAAAAACAACAAGTAAATTAATTATAGTCACGTGGTAACTCACGCGGGCAGGCGTGGAAAACGGTCGGTTTAAAAGGCCGTAATGACGTGAAACAGAGCGTGGAAGTGACCCATTACAACGTCGTTTCAATTGGGATCTACTACGGGCCAGGGGGTGGTGATTAATGCAGTCCCTCTAAGTGGCAGGAAGCCTATTTGGTGACCTGCCCATATCGGGAGGACAAAATGTGAGTTCTATCAAACGGGGAAGGCTAGTTGTGGTGGTTTCTATTTACAGCAACGAACACGATTGGTGTTTCAACATTGTTGTTTTTTTTTATCTTTTAGAGCTTTTTTTTTTTTTTTGGGGGGGGGGGGGGTAAATTTGTTCTTGCAAGGCGCTGGTCATTGCCGTGAAATGCTCAATGTAAATTTGTTATTGCAAGGCGCTTGTCATTGCCGTGAAATGCTCAATGTAAATTTGTTATTGCAAGGCGCTGGTCATTGTCGTGAAACGCTCAATGTCTTAGTTGACGTAAAGTGAGTGTTTAAAGAAAACCAAACCATGACAAAACAATGCAGGGGCGTAGAAAGGTTGGTGGAAGAGGGCTGGCTGACCCGTGCGTTACTTTGTACTTAAATATAGGGGCGGCATTTTCAGCCCAATGAAGAGAGGGGCGGGGGGTTATCGTGGAAGAGGGCTTGCTGAACCAGGGCGTTACTTTGTACTTAAATATAGGGGCGGCATTTTCAGCCCAATGAAGAGGGGGGTATCGTGGAAGAGGGCTTGCTGAACCAGGGCGTTACTTTGTACTTAAATATAGGGGCGGCAGTTTCAGCCCAATGAAGAGGGGGGTTTTATCGTGGAAGAGGGTTGGAAAAAAACCCGTCGAGAGGGGACAGTAAGCCTAGTGACGTCACTGAAATGATGCCAGAATCAAACGTTTGAAGAAGCAAGAGGTGTGTGAAGTGGCAGCGTTAAGGGCACATTAAGCACAGGTCGTCGTCGCCCCCCCCCCCCGACCCCATTTTAGCTATTGATTGGTGAATCGGCGATTCATCCCAGCATGCCAAACTACATCACATCCGAAAATATACCTATCATATGACATAAATATATCATTACAATAAAACAATACTAAAAAAATTTTGCCCCCCCCCCCCCGACCCCATTTTAGCTATTGATTGGTGAATCGGCGATTCATCCCAGCATGCCAAACTACATCACATCCGAAAATATACCTATCATATGACATAAATATATCATTACATAAGTAGATATACTTCATTACATAAGTAGATATACTGCGTTACATAAGTAGATATAATACATTACATTAGTAGATTTCCACCATTACATAAGTAGATTTCCACCATTACATAAGTAGATATACTACATTGCATACGTATATATACTACATTACATCAGTAGATATACCACATTACATCTGTCGCAGTACGAACATGCACTTATATTAATACGTTTTGATGGGATCCTTGGTAACTCAGTTTTCAATTATTGTCAATATCACACACACACAGACACAAGTACACACACACAGACACAATTCACAGACACAAACATCCAAGACTGTTCAGAACTATCTATAATACCAATTACCGAGTGGAATTTCTCCGCCATACGGAGTTATTAAGTAATCATGTGTAGCCATGGTTAAATTATAGTAAATCCCTTGAACTTTGGCATTATTCTATTTTTTTTTTTTTTAACTTTACTGAATATGCTTAAGAGATGGAAAAGCGAATGGTGACTGCTGTACATTTCGAAAGCTTACTGACTTTTGGCTTTTATGTTGCCCTGAGCTCTGTCTGGTATTGACTTGCCATATTTATTTCGTACGTTTATTGGAAGGTTTTCAAAAGTCACACGGTAGTAACAGGTATGATGGTAATTGATGTCTTACGCTTATTGATTCGGTACTCTGATTGACAATATATAGGCCAGCCATCGAAAAGAGCATTGTTGCCAGTCACTACCGATTCAATAGCAATATATAGGCCAGCCATCGAAAAGAGCATTGATGCCAGTCACTACCGATTCAATAGCAATATATAGGCCAGCCATCGAAAAGAGCATTGATGCCAGTCACTACCGATTCAATAGCAATATATAGGCCAGCCATCGAAAAGAGCATTGTTGCCAGTCACTACCGATTCAATAGCAATATATAGGCCAGCCATCGAAAACAGCATTGTTGCCAGTCACTACCGATTCAAAACAATTAGGCATTTATGGATGTATGGAGCGCAAACATGATTTCATTATTATTGACCAGTGGTCGTCAAACTCATTAGTCAAAAAAGTGAAAAATCATCAGCAGGACGATTGAAAAAATGTTTGTGAGCTCAATTTCTTTTCAAGAACCTGTCAAGGGCCACGTTTTTCGGAGTCATAACCGATTTGTGGCCGGCTGGCCGAGCCGCATTTCAGGCCGCTTAATAGCCGCATGCGGCTCGCGAGCCACGATTTGCCGACCACTGTTATACACAATGCACCTCTTCCAGTATTTTACACGCGCAACGACGTTCCGTTTGTCCATCTAGTATCTAAATAATAAACTAATTAAATATATAGACACGGTTTGAAAGTATGTATACACAAGTCGAGTGGAGCATTTGAAAATAAATGTGTCATGACCAATGGTGGCACCTTGGAACAAAAGCACCATCTCAAGTAAAATATCTCTGCGCTAGTGGCCACTGCCCAGTTCATTATTCAGCAACATCATGAAGTATTAATGAGATAAATGCACACACATCATCATAATCATCATTCATAATCCATTCGCGATTTGTGCATGTACCTTTGGCCTGCGGCCATTGTGAAAAATGTATGCACTCTCCGCAACTGTTCTTTGTTTGTGTTAAGGGTGTGGCTGTAGTCTGACATTGGTGTAGTCTGGTGTTGGTGTAGTCTGACATTGGTGTAGTCTGGTGTTGGTGTAGTCTGGTGTTGGTGAAGTCTGGTGTTGGTGTAGTCTGGTGTAGTCTTGTGTTGGTGTAGTCTGGTGTTGGTGTAGTCTGGTGATGGTGCAGTCTGGTAATGGTGTAGTATGGTGACGGTGTAGTCTGGCGTTGGTGTAGTCTGGTGCTGGTGTAGTCTGGTGTTGGTGTAATCTGGTGTTGGTGTAGTCTGGTGTTGGTGTAGTCTGGTGTTGGTGTAGTCTGGTGTTGATGTAGTCTGGTGTTGGTGTAGTGTGGTGTTGGTGTAGTCTGGCATTGGTGTAGTGTGGTGTTGGTGTAGTGTGGTGTTGTAGTAGTGTGGTGTTGGTGAAGTCTGGTGTTGGTGTAGTCTGGTGTTGGTGTAGTCTGGTGACGGTGTAGTCTGGTGATGGTGTAGTCTGGTTAATGGTGTAGTATGGTGACGGTGTATTCTGGTGATGGTGTATTCTGGTGATGGTATAGTCTGGTGGTGGTGTAGTCTGGTGGTGGTGTAGTCTGGTGATGGTGTAGTCTGGTGATGGTGTAGTCTGGTGATGGTGCATTCTGGTGTTGGTGTAGTCTGGTGTTGGTGTAGTCTGGTGATGGTGTAGTCTGTTGTTCGTGTAGTCTGGTGTTATTGTAGCCTGGTGTTGGTGTAGTCTGGTGTTGGAATAGTCTGGTGTTGATGTAGTCTGGTGTTGGTGTAGTCTGGTGTTGGTGTAGTCAGGCGTTGGAGTAATGTGGTGTTGGTGTAGTTTGGCGTTGGTGTAGTCTGGTGTTGGTGTAGCCTGGCGTTGGTGTTGTCCGGTGTTGGTGTAGTCTGGTGTTGGTGTAGTCTGGTGTTGGCAAAGTCAGATTTTTTTTTGGTAGGTAGTTTAGGCGTAAGTCATGAAGTGCCCCCACAGCGGAAAAGGTGATGTGCACCTGTCTCTGTTGGATATCTGAAGAGGTAGGGGGCCACGTCAGTTTTTTATCTAGTTTTCTGCGGTTCACATGAGAATCAAGTGGTATGATTCATGTGTGCATGCTGTGTCGTAGGAATGGGATACGAAAGAGGCAGTCCCTTTTCCGGATGGCAATTTTGTCATTTATATATTATCATTTATATGTTGTAATTTATATATTGTCATCGATATTTTGTCATTTATATATTGTCATTTATATATTGTCATTTAGATATTGTCATTTATATATTGTCATTTATATATTTTCATTTAGATATTGTCATTTAGATATTGTCATTTATATTGTGAGGTGGTATTTCCGGTCAGCTGTAAAGGTTTGTTTGGATTTTTTTCGTGGTAAGACATCGGCAAAAAAATTGATCTAAGCTGTTACAAACTCTAGCTAGGCCACTGTGTGCAGGCGCAATATTAGTGTGTCTTTCACTTCCTGATATTTTGTGGTGTCAAACGCCTACTCCTGGTGCTTGGTAGCCGTGTAGAGACATGAGCATGGGATTTGCAGCCTCTGGATTTGAACGCGATGGCGAGCCACAAACAAAACCAGTAAAACCATGATGATAGGGAAAAAAACAACAACAGTAACAACAAACACATCAGCGCTGAGACGTCGTCTCGTCTTTCCTGGTCGCCGGACGAATATCTCGAGAATTATTCGTCCGATCGCCGGACATGTAGACACTTCGTAAATTATAAATATATAAGTAAAACAAGTTTAAGTATAGTTAAGCCATAATAAGCTAACAACAGTAAATGAATGACTGAAACATAACTAAACGAATGCGTTTCAATGAGTAGTAGTAGTAGTAGTAGTGGTAGTAACAATAACAGTGACTATAACTATAACAATAATTCAATAATAAATTATACTACGACAACGACTGTCAACGTCTAAAAAATTACAATACACCGTATATTTCTATTATTTATACTTTTTGGTGCTAAATTGAAATGTTAATTACATACTCATAATACTTACATGAAAACAAAATTAATTTGTGTTAAAATAATGAAACATAACGATGAAACACTGATCTACACAACAGCACCTAATGCCCAGTGTGTAGTTTTATAGTACACAGATGTTCAACTTTCACCCTTAACCCTTAAACCTTGACCTATTTGCAATGCATTCAGCCGGCCAATGCATGCTGTGAAATTGTGTCTATTGTAATGATAGATTTTTTTTTTTACGGAGATTGAGAGTGGTTCCTAGATTGAGTTTTACTACAATAAAAACTTTTAACTGGTTGAAATTGTGTAAATTTTTGCCTGGTATTTACGACTCATTTATAAGCTGCGTTTCTAACACAATAATAAAATAATTCTTCAATAAAGTCAGGTCTAAGTAGATCCAAAAACAAATAATCATCATTATTATTAAATAAAAAAAATTAGGGCGGGATGGATTTGTAAATTGTAATTGAAAATAGGTGAGAACCAGTGTGAGATTTTTGTGTATAAATATATTCATGCACACGGACGTGAATTATGTTTTGCTGTCTTATCTTTGTTTATCTTAAACAGTGACACAGCAAAATTCTTCTTATTTCATATTAATAATAATAAAAAATTTGAGTAGTCTCAAACCTGTGCACTTTCAGAGCAATATTAATTATATGCCAAAAAAGATGAAATAATTGCCAACTTACTTTTAAGTGATTTGATAAAGTAATTTATTTTTTAAGAATTTAAAAAAGAAAGGTTTTGTGGGGGGGGGGGGGGGGGGG